ATATATATATATATCCAGTGAGCCGTATTTATATGGACAATAAATCCTTATCATCAGAGGGCAGAGGAGAATGGGTAGCCTGGTTTAAAAGGACAGAAGGCAAAAGTAGGTCAAATTATTCCTTGTTACAAACCAAAATATACAGGACACTTTTGTTTAACAAACAACAAGTCGTACCTTGATGAAGCAGATGGACTACATCAGAAGAAGACCATACAGGGTGCCACTCCTGTTAACTAAGAAAATGAAATTAAAGTACAGTTTACACAGATTCGTCAAAATTGGTCAATAAATTAGAGAAAAAAAATTATAATAAACAAAACATTGCCTGCACTGGTGAGTTTTGATACATTAAACTGAATGGAAGATTTACATCAAGGATGAGGAGCTGACAAATCTGCAGCAACCACATGATGCTATCATGTCAATCTGACAAATAAAGTCAGTTTTGCAGGGTGTGTGTATAAACAAAGATAATTGTAGTTCTTCCGAATTTACTTTGGTTGCATGTTTGACCTTGTGCATAAATACACCCCATTTTCAGTCTGTTGGTAGGAGCATTACAGACTGAGATACAAAAAAAAATGCACACATGTGCAGATGGAGACAGAGAAGTGCACTTATTGTAACTTAATTTTCACAATTGCATCATCAGTTTGCACAGGGAAGAGAATAAGCTTTGTGATGTATTTATCATCACATTATGTGTAAATACTAGGCAGAAATATGGCATATGTGACTTTGTATTTTTCCAGAAGAAAGGGAAGCTAACATGCTGTCTAGATACTGTATATGGGGTAAATGTAATCAGATTATAGATGTGTGTTAATGTCAGCTATCTCGTCTCTGTCTGAGAGTTTCTCTGTAATTTTCTGCTTGGTGTTATGCCACAAAATGCTGACATCAGAATCTGAATTTCCTCACTGTGTAGCAACCATTAAGCACATGCTTAGAATTGTCATAATGTGTTCATTACTTTTTTTAACTTGTCAACAGTTTTTTTCTGACTCAACAACAAACTGTTTATTTGTTCTGGCTCCCCTTATTTTTATCTGCTTCTGTAATGTAGGTCTCACGAAATGCATTATTATTCCACTCTTTGCTGACAGCTTATATTTTAACCCCCTCTGGAGCACACTATACTACGCTTGGCTGACTTGTTTGCACTAATGTCAAGTTTTAACAGTTAGCAGGCAGTTACCATATGCTACTGTGCTGCTGTCACCCCAGCTGTCTGTCAAATGAATGTCAGCTTAAGCTCATAACAGTACCCAGAACAGCACAGTGAAGCATAGTGACAGAGCAAATACACTTGGAATAAGTCAGACATTCATGGGCTCCTATTGCTGTCTGGACAAATGCAAACAGGGCAAACTACAGTAGCATTTTCATTACTGAAAATGTTATCAGTTATGTCCGTAAAATTCAGACAAGGCTTAAATTTAGATATACCCTCCCAAGTGCCGAAATCAGCTCTAACAAAAATTGCATCATTTTGTTCGCAGCTTTGAGTCTTCCACCCCTTTTTTGTCACAACCCGCTGGGAGAACTTTTCATCCCCCTCCGCATGAGAACTTACTGTGTGATTGGTCAGAGGTCAGAAGTTTGTGGGCGTGTTTATTTGAGCTGACAGCGCTAGGACGCTGCATTTTGCTTCAACTACTCACTTCCAGAATCCAACTGTTGTGCCCGAAAGCAGACATTTTTTAAAGATAGTCAAATTACCAAAAACCCAAGGATGGAGATAGCACTGACATTGTGCACAAATGAATAAAAAACAAAACAAACTGTGGAACTTTAACCAGAGCTATTGAGGCTGGAGTATACCTGTAGAACTTAGCTTTTACTGATGATTGTTCTGTACGTCAGGTGATGAAGAATCCCAGAGTTTTGATAGTCAGAGTTTCTTCAGAATTCAGCAGTTTTTCAACTTATATTACCTCTAAAGACACTCTGATTATTATGACACACCCTCTGCAAATGGGCACAATTAAACTTATCATTGTGCTACATGCTTACACTTTTAAAAGAAAAAGGTATGGTTATTTTGATTTTTTTTGTAAGTTTTACATTACACTCAGTTACAGAGGTAGATGTCAGCACTAGCAAAAGTTTATCTTTCACTTCACCTTGATTCACAATCTCCACCACTGACATTTTCTGTCTGTCAGAAAGGAGAGACCACAAATGCAATAAAACAGATCCCCCCTCTCTTTGTTAGTACATATAAGATAATATGACTTTACACACTTCAGACTTGTTTGATGAAAGTAATATGTAAATGTCACTGGGTCCAACTTAGTAAGATGGTTGTCACTACTTTTATAAAAGAGCGACTAAGATGTGTATTCAGACAAGAAGCCAAAAGGCTTAGTTGCCACCAGATTAATCAAAAAGAGTTAATGTCTTACAGAGTCTCAAGATAAATAGCAGCTCTTCAAGATTCGTTGCTTCCAACTTGACATTTACTCTTTACCATCTGTTTATAAATTGAAGCTCTTCGAGATTTTCGGTGGTTTCTTTATCATCAGAGAACAGGATTACCACAAATGTAAGTGGACTGGATACCATATTCCAAACTTACTTGATGAAAGTATGCCCTCTTTTTATTTCCTTTCCTTCCCTTCCTTCTATCCTTTCTCCTTTGTATCCACCATGTTGGTTGCTGGTTTCTCATGTTAAAGGGGCAATATCATGTAAAATCAACTTTTTTGAGTTTTATATTATGTTATAATGTAATACTCTTATAAACAAAAACATGCCCAAAGCCTTGCTTTGACTCATTCATGCATGTCTGAGAAATCCTGCAGCGTTTCTAGGCAGCCATGCTGAGCAGCAAAACGATAGGTGGGGACCAGAAACGCCTTTTGGGACCAGAAACGCCTCTGGGACGTGTCTTTAAGCCAAACTTCCTCATGGCAGAGCACCCCCGACTCCCCACACACCCTGCCTATGACTCCAGCAGGCTCTCGGGTGAAAGTGAAAGTGAAACTTAAACTGTCTGCTGAGCTCCACTACTCCTCACTCAGTGAAGCTCTTTTCAGATTCAAAATATGTTTCGAGGAAATGTATCTTCAGATGCCAAGTAAACTCATCATAGCAGCCCCCACCCATCCCCCTCGCGTGCATGAACCCCACCCCCTGCACCAAATTGGGCGAGACAGAAGCAGAAGGTGGTTCTTAAAGAGACAGAGGCCAATTTCAAAGAGTTTAGAAAAGGAAGTGAAGAGAAGATAAGTTTATTTTCTATTTAAACATTAGAACAGCATTTTAATAACAACTAAAGGTGACATAGATACTTTATTATGGTATAGTATTTAAATGTATACCTGAGAAACACATAATATTGCCCCTTTAGCAGAGTTGTGTTTTGCTCAATGTTGAGAAAGTTAATGGGACCCTGCAACTTTGTTCATTTTGACCTTGTTTTACTCACGCTTCCCACTTATTTTTCTTTATCTTATAATTTTTGTCTGTCTTCCCTTTCTAAGGTTTCAGTTAATTGCCTCTCAGGGTACCTGTTTGGTGACATTATCAAAGCTGTGCAAAAGTAGTAGTTCAAGTTTTTCTCTCTCTTTTTTGCCTTTTACAAATCAGGGATGCAGAATGTGACCATGGTTTGACCATTTCTAGATGGTTCCTTTTGTCTTAAGAACTCTGTTATCTCTCTCTGACTTTTTGCTTCTTCTCTTTGTCTCTGTTTTCCTTGCTCCGTGTCTAAATTTAGTTTAGTTAAACTGCTGAGCAGCAGTAACAATTGGAAGTGATAGAAAAGTAGAATTATAGTTACAGTAACACGACATGGTTCTGTACAACCTCAGGGAATGACAACAGAGACAGGCACTATAATCCATTAACATTTTTACTGATATCATTGAACCGAGAGGAAGAAAAAGCTGCAGAGAGAGAGAGAAGAAGAGAGAGAGAAGTGAGATGTCTCAGACCAGAGACTATACCCTACTTGACTGCAATGCCTTGTGGTGACCTACTTGCAACCTCTTTGAAGTCCAGGGGTTGATTTTGCTGTAGAGCTAGCTGAAGAGATCTGCTGCATGCAGCTTTATTAGACTAGATA